TCACTTTGTTTGGTGGAGTAAATTTCAAGACAGGAGAACATTCAGACTTTGGCATGGTTACTTTTTACTGCTCTGATCCAGGCCTATTGAGAGGGAGAGCAAGAAAAGGAACAACAGGATATATATAGTTTCGGTGAAGAACAGAGTGAGTTTAAAGTTGCAAAAAAAAAAAAAAAAAGCCTGGTGAGTTGGGAGAGTGTGTTGCTCTTGCAGAGTTTGGGTCCCAGCACATTGGGTGGCTTACAACTGCCTGTGGCTCCTTCTGCAGGGTATCTGGCACCATCTTCTGGCCTTTGCAGGCACCTGCACTCACATGTACACACCCCCACACACATACACACATAGTTAAAAAATACATTTTTTTAAGTTGCAGACAAGGAATCTGAGAAAACAGATGTAATCATTAAAGAGATTAAAACCATCAAAGAAAAAAACCTTACATTTTAGAAATCTACACTGGGACAATAGCAAAGACGCCACCCATCCAAAGGTGCCGTCTTCTGAAAAATACAAATTTATTTGAAAGGTGAGAGATCAACTGATGCTAACGAAAGTATTCCCTGCTAGAAAGCAATCCCCTAGAGAGTGGTTTTCTTGGGATTAGCATGTGGTAGCCCATGCAACTGTGATCCAAGAGGGCCAGGTGACAGCTAAACTGAACTCGGCTGTATCATTCACATACTTACTGCTTTTGCTGGAGGGAAAATGCAATGTGAAAGGGAGGGTGTTATATTGGTCTGCACCGAGGTTTCACAAAGCCTTAGAGGTCAAGCAATATGTGGCAGGAATGGAGTCCCTTACAAAGAAGCCCGGTGAGGCCAATGCACGAAGCTGTGAAGGTGAATTCTAAGATACAGTGAAGCATCTAGAAGGCTGGAGATGCCAGCACTGTGTGACCTCTGCTGAGGAAAGGAGCACCGCCCAGGAAGCTCTGTGTGCTGCACATGGAGGGATGGGGTTACCCAAGTCACTTAGAGCACATGTCATTCCATCACAGGCCCCAGATGCCAAACACAAGCTGCAAGATTTGGTGTTTGCTCCACTAGATTTCAGTCGTGCTTTTGCCCACCCCTTCTCTGCTAATGCTCCCATCCCTCCAGTTTTTAATGGAGCCGCTTACTCTGTGGCATTGCGTACGGCAAGTTTGTAACTTGTGTTATGAGGTTATCTGGGCTCATACTTAAGACACAACTTGAGTTTTAAAGTTTCACAAGAGACCCTGCACTTGGACTTTTAAATAGTTTGATGATTATTAAAGACTATCCACTAACTACATTTTATGAGATGGTCATGAGCCTATGAGGACAAGCGATAGAGGATGATGCTTAAAAGTGATGTTATGGTGACAAACTGACCATGGGTGGACTTGTGATGATTCCTGGCTGTCAACTTGACAGTATTTATAATCATCAAAGAGAGAAGCCTTGGGGCCTACCTGTCTTGATAGGGTTCCAATCAAGACCCAATACTAAATGTGAGTGGTATTATCCATGGGTTTGGAGGGTGATCTAAGCAGGAAGAAAGCAAGACAAAAACAGCATTTATTTCTTCCTGCCTCGTGTGCAGAGACGATGTGGCCAGATGACTCAGCCTTGCTGCCATGCTGTCCCTGTTATGATGGTATATCCTTGGACTGTAAACCAAAACAAACACTCACTCGAGGAGTAGCTAATATGAGGGCCAAAGTTATTTCAGGCTATCTTTGGTCCTAGTAGTATTTACCACCTATCTTATGATTTAACATCCTTTCAACTGTCAAGTAAACCCTTTAGACTGTATTAACAGACCGCCATCTTTACCAAATGACATCATCAGATAACATTTGAGACCTATAACAGAGACTTTTTTTATTCTGCTATAACCTGCCTACCAGATGCCCCACAAGTGTACTTGGAAAATACATTGATTTATGATTCTTTTGTTCTATGATTATGCAATGTTCAGTTACAAACGTCCATGCAGGATCACATTATTTGGGGCAACCTGGGTCTATAGTCCCAGGCTATGGTCACTCATATTTGGCTCATAATCAGTCATGTCTTATTCCCTTTGAGGTGAGAGCTGTGCTTCATGTCAGGCCCTCAAAGACCAAAGCAAGGCACACAGGCTCCAGCAGAATGGACCCTGAGCTGTCCTATTTTGGTAATCGTAATGGCAAGAAATCCTGAACCATACATTCATAATCCCAGATCTTCTTGTCAAAACATACAAAATGACAGGAGGTCTGAACTTAAGAATCCCCCTCTGGCTTATGTTTAAGGGTTGAAAGCAGGTCCCCAGGGTATGCTGTTCTCTCAGCAAGTGTTGGAATAGGGTGAATAGCTGATGATGAATGATACTAATGAGCTCCAAGTATTTCTAACCACCACTAAAATACTAGTTTTGTTTTTTTTGGAGTTTTTTGTTGTTGTTTGGTCTGGGGTTTTTTGTTTTTGTTTTTTGTGTGTGAGAAGAGATGCTTCCTTTTGCTTTGTTTTGTGCTGTCTCCACACAGGGTACTCATACAAAGTAGGTACTTAATTATTCTAAGTTCAGTTTCAGTTGCTGACTACTGTGGTCTTTCCATGTGGTGGCATCATTGCACCTAGGAAGACTGGAACATTGGTAGGAATAGCATCAAGGGTTTAAAATGCCGTCTGCCTTTGCCTGGCACTAGCAGCGGTAATAGTCCCCAGGCAGTCCCTCCATGCTTCCTTTACTGGTTGAAACATTGCCTCCTAAAGCAAGAGGGATGCTTATAAGACTCAGGAAGTAAACAGACCTCATATGTTTGGGAAAGCTGAAGCCTACACGGTACAGGAATGCCATTGGACAAGCGCTGGGAGAGACTTGGAGCTGTGGAACTAACCGCCTGCAGGTCCCACACAGAGCTCCAGCTCTACAATGCTGAGCTCCCTGTGGTCACAAACAGAGCTCCAGCACCACACCTTTTGTGGATGGTCATCCAGTTTGGAGTGGGTTTTTTAGTGTATCAGCTTCCCCTGAGTCATCCCTGCTCCTTTAATATATTCATTGGCCTGTCAAGTTGGGCTTGAATGCAATTATTACTTTTTCTTTTCATTGGTCCCTAGCTAAGGTCAGTAGACATTTATCCATGTCTTCCCAAGAAGTGTCAGTCACACAACACTTGTCCTCCCCAGCTGTTCTCTCTGCCTAGACTCTTACCATTACTCATCGCTTCATTTAAACACACTTCTGTGTCCTACGAGGCATTTTAGAGACTACACTCAGGAAACTTGAGCCCAAGAAATACCCTAAAGGTGTTACATTGGGCGAGCTGCAATAACTAGTGGGCCTCAGAAACTTATGGAGGAATGGCATCCCCATGAGTTATTTGTTGATGCTGAGACCTGTCCTGTATCCCAGGAGCCGATGGATTTTCAGGAACCCAATTCACATTTTTCCCAGGATTCCTAGGTTTGGCCAGTTTCGTAGTGACACGGTGTTATGTGCTTGTGAAACCTGGAACTGGGGCCGGCAACCCAAACTATATATTAGGCTTTTTGCACATCTCGTAGTGAAACTGGGAAACCGTGCATCTCATAGATATAGGGCAAAGCAGAGGACTCACCTGAGGATGGCTCTTTCAGATTCAAATCCAAGCTCTGCCTGAAAGTGGAAACCCACGTCCTGTAATTGTGTGCTGCCCACTGCCCTGGAATTTCGGGAAACTCCTGTCTAAGGTTACTTTCACGCTGCCCTAAATTTTGTGGGACCACATGAAAATGAGATTTTCAGTTGAAATACTTCAACAGGCAGTGAGTGGAACTACTACCATAATCCTTAAAGCACACGAGGTTTAATGAACCCAACGAACGTTTCTTGGCACCCAGAGAAATTGGTTTTAAAATTTTTTCATTGAATTACAAACTTGCTTAAAAGCTCTAAACTGGAAATCTTGGAGCAGCCTGCCACCTTCAGGATAACTAACAAATTAACTCAGAGAACACAGGTTTTTGCTTCTATATATCACTTCTATCAATACATTCCTTATAGCAGTCACCAGAGAAATGTTTCATGATAAGCAAGTGAGAACATTACCCCTCTATGTTTTTTCCCTATGATGGTGCAGTCTAACTAATGATAGTAATTTAAAAAATTACCCACCCATTTTTGCTTTAAATTGGTTAGACACAACCAATCTATTTCACTTAATCAAACAGGCTAAGAACTCTAATAGGTTTTGCAACCGTGGTCTAGGAGAAATATTATTAATTCGGAAACTTATTTTCTTGTTGCTGGCCTTTAAAAAGCTTATGGGTCCATCACAACATTTCCTTTGTGGGTCAATTTCAGTATTTCTAACTAGTCTTAAAATCAGTAATGAGAGGAATCCATTCGGAAATGAAAAGGAAGAAATGAAGGGCGTTGCAGACGAGATGAAGGGAAGAGAATGTGTAAAGTTTATTTTATTTTTTCCAAATACACTATTAAAGCACAAGTTACACCAGGGTCACCGAGACTGAGAGAGGCAGCAGAGGTGAGAAATGGGACGAAGAAGAACAGGATTCAGTGCTCATACACGAATATGGGAAATTATTAGTAAGAAAGGAAAGCCTAAAATGCATAGCATTAGGGTCAATGTGATCAGAAAATGGGTGTAACGATAGGTGGAAGAAGACAAAACAAAACAAAGCAAAACCAAACTGTGGAAATGCACCACGCAAGGAACAGGAAAATTAAAGCTGTCAGAATGACAACGCGACAGAGAGCAAAGAGTCCTTATTTTCATTTCTCAAAAGCAGGGGCGGGCAAGCTCAGAACCTTGACCCTCTGCACTACGCGCCCTCTGAAACAGTTGCAAGATCGATCTCCGCGCTGGACTCTCCCAACCCGGAGCTTTGCAAGCGACCGGTCACGTGGGCCGCTGCGACTGCGCAGGTCCCTCTTAGACAACGCCGAGGCACGTCGGCCGCACTCAGTCCTCCCGGCCGCCAGGGGGCGCCGAGCGCATCCTCGGCGGTTTGCCCGGCGCCTGACGCCGGGCGTGCGCATGCTCGGCGGGTACAGAGGTCACCCGCATCGGCGCGTCCCCACGTGCGCGGCGAGCCGCTGGCGTCAGGATGCGGAGATGGGAGCTCGCGTGAGCCGCGCCGTGAGGAACTTCAACCTGGAGAACCGCGCGGAGCGGGAGATCAGCAGGACGAAGCCCTCCATGGCTCCCAAGCACCCGTCCACGCGCGGCCTCCTGCGCGAGCAGCTGAGTGGTGAGTGCCGTCCCTCCCGCGCGTCCCACGGTGACATTGAGGTCGTCCCCGGGGCCGGCGGCGGCTGGGATCCCGGCGCGCGGGGAAGCGCAGGGCGCACGCCTGGCCGAGCCTCGTGTTTGTCCCCAGCTGTGCAAATGATTATTATTCTTTTTTTTTTTTTGAAATCGTCTTACGTGTTTGGGGGTTTAGAGAAAATTTCCTTTAAGGAAAATCGTTATGCTCATTTTTCTTCCTTGCTGTCCTTAGAGCATCCAGAAATCCAAGAAGAAGTTTCTAGGAAAGATAACAAACTGTTGTCATTGCTAAAGGACGTGTACGTGGAGTCCAAAGATCCGGTGTCTTCCTTGCCGGTAACGTATGCTCTTCTCTGATTAAGTAAACAGTTTCTTTGGCAGATCTCAGGACGTGATCAAGAAAAAGGGCAGCCGGTGAAATGCGGCGCCAAGTGTCTGTGGTGGTGGTGGTGGTGGTGGGGTGCACAGGGCTGGAGACACAGGGATGGACTCGTTGGATACTTAGGGAGACCCGTGAAGGGACGGGTTGAATGCACCCGTGTGAAAGGAGTATCGCGGAAGTTGTAGGGTTAGAGGTTATCTGGGTGACAAAAGATGACTTTTAGAGCTCTTTCCGTTTGGGGATTTGTAGGATCATGGTTGTGCTTTTAAGGGTGTATCAGGACAGGACATGTAATACTATATGTTAAGTTCATATAGTATGCTGCAGTGGTAGGCATGTCACACGTGTCAGGCAATTATGTGAAGTGATCAAAACAGACCTGGGCCTTACTCTGAGGCCTGTGATACCTCAGAGTAAGGCAGGTACAGAGACAGAGACAGTGTTATTGTAGGACCTGGAGGTGTAGGGACTGCAGTTGAGGAAGTGACCTTTGAACCCTGGCATTGAGCATGAATTGAAGCCGGAATCAGGGAGGGAGGCAACCATCGTGATCAAGGTGCAGAGTTAGACTGACCTGTGGGGACGTGCCACTCAAAAGTGTTTTTTGTTCTAGAATTTTTTTGTGCAGCCTAATAGTATGCAAAAGACTGTACGGTTACAGTTACTTGTATAATACTCTTAATTTAGTGGTGACTGTAGGGTTTAGTTATCACCAGATTCTCACTTAAAAGATACATGATTGATAGCCTTTGTATTTTTTGTTTTTCGAGACAGCGTTTCTCTGTATTGTTTTGGAGGATGTCATGGAACTTGCTCTGTAAACCAGGCTGGTCTCGAACTCACAGAGATCCACCTGCCTCTGCCTCCCGAGTGCTGGGATTAAAGGCGTGCGCCACCACCACCGGGCCTTTGTGTGTTAATTTTTAAGCTGACACTTTTAAGCAATACTTTAAAAATTGCTGTTTCTCATTTATGCTGAGCATGTATTTTTGTGATTTTATGTAAAGATATTTATTTGATGTTATACTTGGTGTTTAGCCTGTGGAAGAGATTAGTTTAACATCTTCAGATAATTGCCAGTTCTGTTTATGGATGTATTGGTACTGTTTGTTTTTGCTTTTTACCACCAGATCCAAACTATCATAATTAATAGGGCATTATAGTTTCCTCTCAACTTATTCTTTTTCTAAATGAACTAGGAATCATATTGTTGGTGTCTTTAGTAAGCCTTGTTTAGATGGGACTATAATTAGATTAGGATTTGTGGGTTGATTAGAAAACAATCTCTTAATTGTTGAGTCTGAGGAAGAGAGGTAAGTTGTTTTTATTAAGTAGAATTTTCATCCCCTCTTTTTAATGTATGGGAAAATGAGTGGGGTTTTATTTTGTGTAGCTACCCACAGTACTAGTTCTATTTCTGCTATGAATTAGTTTTTCAGTTTCTTTTTTCTTAATTTTTGTATCTCTGTGTGGAATTTCTACTAAGTGAAAAGAGGATGTTCAATCTTGTTTAAGAATTTCTGATGTCGAGGGATTAACACCGAAGGGAAGAGGAAAACCTGTTGCGTATGGAGTGGAAGGTGGATCTGCTTGGGTTTGGAAGAGCCACTTTGCGCTTCAGGAAGTGAAAGAGTAGGGATGAGTCTCTGCAGATGCGCAGGTGGAATGAGTGGTGCCGTGGAGACTGGCTGGGGAGGGGGAAGGGTGGATTTGGATTACCGCTGGATCGTGAGAGTACTTGCCAAGGAGTTTCACTTTTATCAGGAGGGCTTTGGAGAGTCGTTGAAGAGTTTACTGTGGGGGAAAAGGAGGTGTTAGGTTTGAGCATTTGAGCGAGGAGGGAACAAAGTTAGGTAGTCAGAATAAACCTGCTAGTTGTCTTTTAATGGTTCCTTCAAGTCACAGTGGCATGGTCTGGGGTGGGTTAGTGGTAGGGAGGATAAGCCAATGGGATCAAGAGACTTGGGAGCTATTATGAGCAGGGTCTGTTCATAGATTAGTTAGGGAATTTTAATCATGGACTTGGAAGCGTGTAGATTAGTAGTTTCAGTATTAGACACTCTGAAGTTGAAGTGTATACAGGTCCAAGTAGAGATGCCCATTAGGCATTTGGGATTTGGAGCTTAAATATTCAGAGAAAGGTCTTGGTTTGGGGCCACAGATTTTGACATAGTTACACGTGGGCCACAATAAGAGGTAGGAAGTGGGTGAAGATCCGTAAGTTCAAGGCCAGCCTGGCATAACAAAAAGAGTAAAGACAAAGAAGATGTAGTTGGAACTTAATGAGGGCAGAAGGCACAAGAGCCACAGGAAAATGGAAGAAACTCTGGAAGGATGGATGGAAAACTGGGAAAGAGCATGGAAGCTGAGGGGCAGGGGCCTTGGTAGTTACAGGTAGATTTGGACATTATAGTCAGCAGTGTTGGGTGTGGTAAGCTGCTGCCAAGAAGTGGTGTAGACAGGTGCAGTTGGAAACGGATGCCTGGGGCAGTGATGAGCTGGGCTGAAACTGACCAGAAGCCACTAGGAGAAAGGGTTCATGTCATCTGACATATCATCAGTGAGGGAAAGATGGAAAAGGTTTCAGGTCAGCTGTCAGAGTACCATTAGGAAGATGCTCTTCTGTGACACATGTCATTTTAATCCAGTCACTCCCATCCTTTTAATATACAAGTTGAGGTTTCCTTACCCGACCTGCTTAGGACCAGAAGTCGTCCAGATCTGATTGTGGAATGTTTGTTGTGCATTCTGAAGCATCTTTGTGGTAGTATCCAATTTTAATCATGAAATTCATTTATGTTTCATACACAGCTTAACAAAGTTGAGGGGTTGGTTAGTCTTAGTGCACTTGCGTTCTGACGCTGATCATCACAGGGAGTTAGATGTGGGCTTTTCTACTTGGGGCATCATCAGCTTTCGGGGTCTAGAGCTTTTGGATTGGTATGCACAGTAGAGGTGAGTAAGTGGCATGCATTGTTAGTTTCACAGAGCATTTCTTAGTTATGGCAAACTGTAGCTAGGAAGAGACAGCAATGAGAAAATACAGTTTGAGGAAGTGTGTACGTGTTTACTTGGAAAAAAAACTTAAGAATCATGGGAGATGTGAATCTTTTATCCTAAAGTCTTTTTCTTGTGGTACTAGGTAAAAGATGTTGAAATACGGCAAGAACGGAAGGAATTCAGACTGCCGGTAGGACATCACTTGGATAAGAATGTCATGGACATTCCCAAAGGCAAAATTTCTGTTGTAGAAGCATTGACACTTCTCAATAATCATAAACTTTCTCCAGAAATGTGGACTGCTGAGAAAATTGCCCAAGAGTACCATTTAGAACTGAAAGATGTAAATTCCATTCTCAAATATTTTGTTACTTTTGATGTCAAAATCTTTCCTCCTGAAGACAAGAAAGCAATACCATCAAAATGAAGACAATCGTAACAACTTCCTGTGCGTGCTCCCAAGCTCTGTCCTGGTTTTTACTGTATTAAATTATACAAGTCACTGTGAACTGAGTTCCTACTTTGAGTGGTCTTTGACCTCTTCGGGATTGGTCATAGAATTCTTTTTTTTTTTTTTTAATTTTATGTATGTGTAGTTCCTGCATATATGTCAGCATGCCTAATCCCATGTATAAATTTATTACATGTATGAGAGGTAATTTTAAATTGATCATGTTAAGCTTCACTTTCCAGTTTAGGATGGTTTGTTCTTTGTAGGAGATGCCAAAAGCAGGAGCCCTCCTGACTCCAGTAAGACTGGCATGTTGTTAGGGAGAGAGTCTCAGCAGTGAGACGTGGTGACTATTTCCCAGTAACTGAGTACAAAAGTGGGAAACTATATGTTACCACTCTGAAGAATAAAAATCCATAGGGATTTTTTTTACTTTTTTTGAATATGAAATTTTTAGAAGAATTTGTGACATTTGTAACATGCTAGCAGTCTCTTTTGACAAATAGAAAGAGGTAACTTCAAAAGCTTTTGGAAGAACTGGTAGTTCTTACAACTATTTGAACAAATAACTTCCTGTAATATGGAAATAAGGAAAATATGTAAGGAACTGTTAAAAGCATCTAAATTTCATGATCAAGCATTTATACCTGTTTTTATTCCAGAAGAGAAAGTAGCAAGCAGAAGTACAAAATAATAGTCCCTGAAGGGACCTGGGAAATTACTGATTTTTTTTTCACCCATTTAAACTCCGGAGCACACTCCAATAGTAGAGTCTCAGCTGAGGTAACATGACGTGTTATACCTGTGGGTTCTTGACTATGTTGTTTGGCCTCTCTGTAATTGAATTTCTATAAAGGTATAATGCTGTCTTGTATAAATTCCAGGATGGTGGTGAAGATAAATGACAAGGGACCAAGCAAATACAAATTCTCGTAGTTAAAATAGGTGACTAAAGAACATACAACTGAATTGTCTGTAGTTTGATACAAGGAGGCCAGAATTTAGGTTTCCAAAATTCTACTAGTATTTTTATGCCAAAAAGAAACACGTTTCAAAAGGACAGAATGGAGTAGAGGGAATTGGGAGTGTCCATATCCTCTCAAGGGAAGACAGATGTGGTGATGGGATTAGGCAGGTGTGACAGCAAAGGTGGGAAATCAATAGAATTTGTAAGCTTTTTTTCAAAGCTGTACCAGTGAATAAACTACCTAGTTTGTGGTTCAGTACAGAAGAACACGCTAATCCTAATCAGTGCAAAATTGCATTTGAAAGTGCAGTCAGTTAAAACCATCCTCCAATTCAAAATGAATGCTTTAATCACTAATACTGTTATTTTTGACTCATTTTTCCTGTCTGATTAGGCAAATATAAATATGGTTTCTATTATATGGAATCACACAATAAAATACTTCCGTTTTATATGGTTCTGCTTTTTCATGTAGAACACTGGTAATGGCATAGAAGTTGCATGGATTTCACATTTGGGATAATGGGGTTTAGATTCCAATTCCATTACTATGTCTGAATTATCCTCAACTCTAAACCAGCAATCAATTGCAAATGCTTGAAGAGTGGTTTATGTGCCAGGCACTAAACTAGGTGCTTTACATATATTAATTTGGTTAACATTTACAGCAGGCATGAAGTTCAGAATGTTTTCCTGGGAAAGTGACAAGTCCAGGGAACTTCAGTAACTTCAAAGATTAGTGGATGTTGAAGATTAAACAGAATGTTTTGTGCTGACTGTTAGACTGGATTGCCTTTGGAGATTGTAAGAACTATGTGAAAAATATGCAGGTTGCTTGGGCATAAAAGGCCAAGACTGCTCAAATGCATGCTTGTATGAGAGTCAGTTGTAGAACTTTGGGTTGACATGTCTATACCCTTTCTATTGTGAGGGACTTGGCTAGCAGAATTGAGGTTGCTGATTGGTTGGTTTCTAGATCAGGGATGCTCGTACTGGTACCAAGTGACTGGTGGAAGGCAGTATTTGGGTCTAAAAAAATGAGGAATGGGGAACTGAGTTTGACGGAAGGGAACCGAGTAAGGAGAGACGAAAAGAATGCCCAGGTTCGGGATTAGTGAAAATGGGCTGAGAAAAGCTGTTCATGAAGAAGCCTGCAGTTGGTTTGGTAAAACTCTGCCATAAAGAGATAGGTTACCCAACCTTGGGGAAGAAGAGTGGGTGGTTTTGGTAAAGTTCTATCATATAAAGAGATAGGGTATCCAAACTTAGACACAGCTATTGGGAATACTAACCACTTAGTGTCAACAGGCACATAGATAAACTCAAGTATGCTCACCCAACCACAGACTAGATTGCAAAGCCATCTGGGTACTTGATGTAACTAACTTAAGCATACCTTTTGTTTTGTGTGTGTGGAGGTGCCTTTGTAAAGTCATGCCTTATTGTGGAAGCCAAGCTGGCCTCAGTCTCCTCAGTCCACCTGCATCAGACCCTCAAGTACTATCTTTAGGTCCAGTGTGTCACTATTAATGCCTCATTGTCACTCAGAGCTGAATGTTTGTGTAGGTCTCTAAATACTCAGGAAAGGATATCCTCCTTTCTCTATTTACTCAATGTCTTTATTCATTTTCTTTGATCTGAATCTGTGTATGCTAAATAGCTATTTAATACAGAACCTCTTGGTGATAACTTCCATGGACACTGTCCTCCCCTCTGGTTAGCCACTGGTTAGTGTTAACAATAGAACTAGCCATGGATTCAGCTTGACCTCACTGTAGCCATCTTCATTCGCCACAACTGCCCAGAGTAACACTGATTTCCTCTATGACTAGAATCTGGCATGAAGGAACAGGTCTATCTGATACTTAAGGTAAACCAGGTACGTTCTGACTGGGATAAAGTCACTTTTGCTCTGACTACTTTTATAAGCTTCCGTCTGTCTGACTTGTGTTATAAGGACCCCCCAGTTCCTGATGTCACCAGTAGTGCTTAAGTCCCCAATAAATTGTACTGCAATCTTAAAAAAAAAAAGTATGTTGTGTGTTTGTGGGGACACATGCCGGAGCCTGTATACTGAGGTAAGAGTAACAGGTGAGTTGATTCCTTCCTCCATGTAGGCCCCAGGCATTGAACTTATTGCCAGGTATGGCGGCCAGTCCTTTGAAGAGCCATCTCGATGGTCCTGGTTTTTTCTTCCTGTCACATAAAACTATGGCACTGATTCTCATTCACCAAGACAGTTGTTCCAAAACAATCAGTGAACCAGTCGATACACTGCTTAAATGAGTAAAGAAGAAATCCTTAATTGGTTATCTGAATTCATGAAGAAAGTGTGGTTTGTGTATTGGATATCCCATGGCCCAGTTGTGAATTAGTATGGGCACATCCCAAAATTGCTTCTGTGTTTGGTGCAATAGTCTGTTGAATATTTCTTATCCCACAGAGGTAAGAAAATTCTGCATCTTGCTAATGCAAGGAGATTGCTGTTGTTATGGGCAGAATCTGAAGATGTTAGCAAAAGTTACGGCTTGGGGAAAGCTTTGGGTCTAATATATCCACTCTCTGGCCTGTCTCATCTCAGGGTCTTCCCTGATGGAGACAGTGGAAGATCAGAATGCCAAGCTAGAAAGCATCGCACACTTGGTTCCACTGAGGGGACTAGAATAGCAAGAGATAACAAGTTTCAACAATCAGGTTTGAGGAATCCTAATCAGAATGGAATGTAAAACAGGGGCCTCAAGAAGAGAGGATACTTACCTCTGATACTTGCTTTTTATTTATTCAGCCTCTGTTAATCAGTACAAGGAAAACAGCAGAGTATTAGCTGAATGAAGAAAGCCTCCTGTGTCAAACCAGGACTATTACATAATTCGTAAATTTTAGAAAAGCTTTTAACCAACAGCTTTGTGAGTTGAAATGCCTGGATGGTGAGACAAGGGCCATGGGAAGGGGTGGCATTTCTCTGGCCGAAAATAGAGCAGGGGGTGGGGTGGGGTGGGGTGAAGTGAGTAATGTTACTGTTCATCTCAACCCTTACCTAGTTGCCAGACCCTGGGAAATCCTTTTCTTACAGAGTGGATCTTCTTGTGTATGAGAGGCATGTCTAAATGAGATCCATCCCCCAGGACAGTTTCCTCCTTCCCCACGGAGACCACTGACAAAGCCAAAGTATTCTGTGGGAAATGGGCACACAATAGGCCCTTTGTGCTCTTGTGGTCTGAGGACCCAATAAGTCAGATTTTCTTTTCTTAGTGCCCAGAAAGAAAAAAACAAACAACATCAATACCCCTCAAGAATGGTACAGTTCCTTTCTCTTCCTCTTCAGCCCAGTTGGTGGCCAAGTTGTCTTAGAATGTAGTTGAGGCCATTGCTAAACTCAGACTAAGTCTGACTCCGACTCAGTGCACCTTCCCACAAAAGAAAAGCAGAGGCAAGCATACTGAACTAAGAGGACTGGTCCAAGAAAGCAGAGGTGGGGTGATGTGCTTACAAGCAAGTGTAGTCTTGCCATCCCTGTGGAAGGAGTTCAAGCCTGAGCAACCTTTTTCTTTCTGCTGCTTCTGCGGGGGAAGGTGAGGAATCGCCTCCCTCTATCATTGTCAACTGCTGAAATGGGACCCCTGCTCCACTCCTGCGAGTAAAGGCTGTAGAAGCAATCACAGGCCTCATGGTGAACTCACTACAGGTCTGATGGAGGCTGTCCTTGTGTATATACATTTCTCTTATTGGTTGATGAATAAAACACTGATTGACCAGGAGCCAGGCAGGAAGTATAGGGGGCGCTACCAGGCAAGGAGAAGGATGGGGAGAGGAAGCAGAGAGGGGCCTTGGAGAGACCCCTCCAAGGGATAACATGCCAGATTACAGGTACGCCACAGCCTCGTGGCAATATGTAGATTACTAGAAATGGGTTAATAACTAAGACAGAGCTAGCCAATAAGAAGCCCGAGCCATTGACCAACAGTTTATAAATAAATATAGTGTCCATGTGCTTTTGGGGGGCCGAAGGAACAGCGGGACCTGGCAGAACAGAAACTTCTATCTCCACTGGTCCTTCGAGTGCAAGATCTGATAGATAGATGTGATAAATCTACACTGTGAGGCTCTGGGTAGTAATTGGTGGTTTTACCAAGCCAGCAGTGCCCCTCCCAGCTTGCATATCTGTTACCAATCTCCCCAGTTTCTAAAACATACCCAAGACAACTCCTCTATTAGGGAAGGTATTATAGACCTCCGGGGGTGGGGTGGGGGGGAGTGGATTTTAATCCGAAGTTCAGGCAGTAAAGGCAGCATTACTCAAGGAGAACAGTAGGACCCTGTTACCCGCCCCCCCCACATCTAAGCAGCTAATGAATATCAGACAGTACAAGTTTTCAGATGGCATGCTGTGATTGGAGAGCCCATATAAGAGTAACAGTGAGTGCTAGGATTTGTCACCTGCCCACCATGCTACAATAGCCCAGTCTGGGTGGTGAAAAAGCCTGATGGAAATTTGAAAGTGACTTTGACTACAGGGTGATATGGTGGTATCTCCTATTTATGCTGCAGTACCTAACACTAACGTAGTAGGAAAAAATTCTCTTTGTTCTGTAAATGCTGTCTGAACTTAACCAATGCTCTTCTCAACAGTGCCGCTTGTACACAGAACCAGTTTGTCTTCTCTTGGGAGGGAATACAATGGCCACCATTACTGCCTCAGCGATATCGTTACCATCCTACCATCATAGCATGGTGGCTTGGGACATCTCTGTTCTCATTACATGCTGCCATTAATGTAGATGATATCATTGTTAACAGGGGGATTACTGGGGACAGTAGAATGATGATATGGTCATCTATGCATAAGGCAACACACTGCTGTCCCCTAGAGTTACAGCCCTGGGCCCTCTGTGAAACTCTTATGGGCGCTCTTGATAGATAAGACCTCTGATTCCAGATGCAAAGAGATATAAAGTGCAAACCTGCAAACCTTCCCCATCCCTCATATCACTAATGATGTGTAGGCTTTTGAGAGGTTCCTAAGTCATTGGTGGGCTTTCCTTTCTCATGTACCTTCCTGCCTTTGTAACACTATCTGCAGATTAAGAAGGGAGCCACATAAGACTAGAATATTCCTCCAGCAGAAAGCATTTGTGAAGACATTTTGGCATGCACCTGCAGTTAAAAGCCACTAGATGGCATGAGTTGGGTTCTGGCCTGAGTACCGAGGACAGAAATTCTAAAGGGTTGATTGATCACTTTCTGGGAGAGAGCTGGAACTAGATGCAATCCTTTTACAACAGCAATTTCAAGCAGTGTACAGTGGTATTCTACAGGTGGGGCTACTTACCAGTCATAATGTAAACTGGCCTTCCTGCCCTCACTCCCTTGACTTACACACACCTGCTAAGTTATACCACAAAGTGTGTTTTCCAGTAGCTTATTAATTTATAAGTTGTGCTCACCGTGAAAC